AATACAACACTTGTTTGCTACATTTTCATCTGTATATCCTTCAATCAGCTCTTCATTTCAAAACTACTTGGTAATATTTTCAGTAAAGAAAATGGAAAGCTGGCTTAGTATTTCCTCTAGCCTACCTGAGGCTTTTTTTTGTTAATTATTGGTATATGTCAAAACTTATTTCAGCTTCACAGGTCATATTTCATAAAGTCATATAAGTATTTAAGATTCTCTCTCTCCCCAAACCCTCAAATAAATAACTAGAATATTTTCAAAGGGGGTGGACATTTGGATTGGTGGTCGAGACACCCACATCCTATAGCCAGATATAAAGTAATATAAGGGGGCCAGCACTGTGGCACAGCATGTTAACACCCTGGCCTGAAATGACAGCATCCCATATGGGCGCTGGTTCGAGACCCGGCTGCTCCACTCTGATCCAGCTCTCTGCTATGGCCTGAGAAAGCAGTAGAAGATGGCTCAAGTCCTTGGACCCCTGCACCCATCTAGGAGACCCGGAAGAAGCTCCTGGCTCCTGGCTTTGGATCGGCACGGCTCCAGCCGTTGCGGCCAATTGGGGAATGACCCATCAGATGGAAGACCTCTCTTTCTCTCTCTCTCTCTCTCTCTCTCTCTCTCTCTCTCTCTCTCTCTCTGCCTCTCTTTCTCTCTTTGAGTAACTCTGACTTTCAAATAAATAAATAAATCTTTTTTTAAAAAGTAACATAAGCAAATGAGTTTTACTGTTTAATTGTAAAGCTGGAAGCTGAGGCTTCAGGGCTGGATTGCTGCCCCTTGCTAAGCTCCAAAACACCCTCATCCAGCAGAACGGCAGTCCTTGCGCCCCAGAGGCCTGCTACCACCTGCTCCTGTCTACAGATTAGATGTCTTCTCCTTCTTCCAAAACCTTGTCCTCATTATTGTGATTTGGCACAGAGGACAGGGATGGAGCTTTCCGTAACAACCCCACACTGGAGTGCCTGGGTTCCATTCCCAGCTCCAGCTCCTGACTCCGGCTTCTTGCTAATGTGAATTCTGGGAGGCAGTGCCGATGGCTCAGCGAGTGGTTCCTGCTGCCTATATTGGAGAGCTGGACAGGGTTCCCAGATCCTTGCTTTGGCCCAAGCTGGGGGCCTTTGCAGACATTTAGGGAGTGTACCAGTGGGTAGGAGTACGTTGCCTCTCTCTCTCCCTTTCTCTATCTCTCTCTCTGTCTTATAGAAAATAAATAAATAAATAAAATATTTGGAAGACAGTCAAGTTGAGAAAATCTCTACCATTCAAGTTTGTTTGTTTTTAAATTTATAATAGTTTAGAAAAATTTTTCAGATTAGTCCTAATATTTTAAGACTTATTGCTGGGGCTAGCACTGTGGTGCAGTGGGTTAACGCCCTGGCTTGAAGCACCGGCACCCCATGTGGGCGCCAGTTCGAGATCTGGCTGCTCCGCTTCTGATCCAGCTCTCTGCTATGGCCTGGGAAGGCAGTAGAAGATGGCCCAAGTCCTTGGGCCCCTGCACCCACGTGGGAGACCCGGAAGAAGCTCCTGGCTCCTGGTTTCCGATAGGCACAGCTCCGGCCATTGCGGCCATCTAGGGAGTGAACCATCCATCGGATGGAAAACCTCTCTCTCTTTCTGCCTCTCCTCTCTCTGTGTAACTTTCAAATAAATAAATCTTTAAAAAAAAAAAAGACTTATTGTTTTTTCAGAACCTAGTACCTCTGGTACTAGGTGCTGTGGAACATATACATATGACAAGAATTCTAGCCTTGTGCTTTTGGTTGAAGGATGACATGTGTCAGCGCAGAGGTCAGAAGGAACATTCTAAGAAGTCATTCCACTTCCTACATCTGAACAACTAGCAAAAGTGTTGTATGTGGGAGTGACAGCAGGCCTTGTGTGGACACCTGACTAAAATCTCCACTAGACGTATTTACAGATCAAAGGTCACTTAGCTGGATCTCAAAACATTCATTACCACTTCAAGGCCTTGAGGGAAAGTGTGGCAAAGAAGTCAAGTCGGAATGGAAAGTTACTGCAAAATTAATCAATTGCGGGTAAAGTATCTGACTACTGAAATTTACAAAAGTATCTGACCACATTGCTAGGAAAAAGGTGTACAGCTTTGAAATGGATGTTCCTTCCTCCAAAAAAGAAGTTACTGAGTGTCTTTCTAGTATGTCCAACTTGGTTATTTGAGTTTATAGGGCCCTGTGTCTTTTCATTGTCTTTGCGATATGTTACAACCCTGTAAAATGGAGAAAATTCATAATAAAGTAAATGATTGCTGTATATGGAAATACAATTATATGTTATATTGTGGGATACAGTTGATTATTGCCTGTTATTTCTTATTATTGTCAATTAATACAACTGATGTTGACTACTTTGGGGTCTATCCATCTACATATCACATTTAGTGTGAATTCTCCCTTGGACTAATTATAACCTCTTACTGGTTTCTTCATCATTTAATGAGTTAAGTGAAATACTTGATACATGTTCATTTTATTTATAGGAGACTCATGGTTTTACCTTTTTTAAAACACACTTTTGTCCTTTAACAATATAAACATATTGCTTGGTCCCTCCCAGGACCTGGGAAGAGGCCAATACAAGATGGGGGCTCCAACGCTTAAGTTTCCTTAGCTTTCTGGAGAGCCCCCTCTGCTTCTGACCTACATTCTTATAGCCGGAGGACAGTTTTGGGTCTTGTTCTACACCAAAAAGAATTTCCAGGTGGACAAAAAGAGTGAAAAGAGAAAATTTTATTGAAAGCTAGGAGCCTCCTGACGCACCACTCAGGAGGGGGCTTCCAAGGGAGGAATTGTCCCCACAGCTTGCAAGTGCAAACTTTTTATTACACAAAAAGGGCATGTAACTATTTGGCTAGTTTAAGGGACTAAAGCAATTTCCAGTCAGTGGGGCATGGAAAAATACACTTTTGATTGGCCCATGCAGGTAGGGGTTAATAGCCACTCAAGGACACTCAGAAAGTCAGGGATAGCAATTAGCGCCTATCAGCAGGTAGGGGATAACAACCAATCAGGGAACTTTCTGTCCAATCAGCAATTAGTGGGTCTCAGGGAGGCATCCCTGGGCTGTTTTTAGCAAACACTCAGGTTTTATGATGAAACTATGCGTGGCTAGAGGCCACCCCCATGAGGGAGCATTTTCTTTTCACTTTTGAAGAGACCTTGTCCCTTTTTTCGATCCTAACAAGAACCTTACCTAACTGCTTATGAACCCATCTAACTCTTCACAACATCCTGTGACACAGCAAATAACCAGAGGTGACGTTGTGGACCATAGCTTAACTCTGTGTCAAACTGAAGTTATTAGGAGGGGGCCAAAGAAAAAAACAGAAAATAAGGAATGGTGGGACTGACACAGTCAGATTCAAAGCAGGCACAGCTCCCAGCACCACTTGAGGTTGGGTGTAGCACCCAGGAACCAAGGCCCAGGCTCCTCCCACCAGGCTTCTTCCCGTGTTTCCTAAATCTGACTGGCAACTCTCCTCAGAGCAGCTCCCTTCCTGAAGGGCAGTATCCTGGGATACAGTATCCTGGGTTAGAGCCGTGGCTGCTCTAACCACCTAGGACCGGTTCCACCAGTCCTGCCCAGTTCATAGCAGTGTGAGCCCAAGGCAACTGGCCCCAAAGCCCAACCTATTACTCCTAGGAGCAAGAGAGCGATGTCCAGAAAGAATAGTAATATCCTAAGTGCCTAACTGCCTGTCTACTAAATGGTGCTCTCCCAACAGTTATTGCCACTTCTTAGGCTGGAGTGGCAGCTGCCACCAGCAGCCCCACTCCTGATCAACCAAGCCATGGACCATTTCCCCTTCTCTTTAACTGAGGCAACAGAAGGTACAGTTTTGCAGGATGGATTTTAATATGTGAAACTTAACCACAGCTGAGTTTTTGGCAGCTTTCTGTTTGAGCTGAAACTCGGCTTTTGGATGCCAACCCCCAGGATAGTGCTTCATCCATGGAAGAAGCAGACCTCAAAGAACTGTGCAGAGAAGGTCAGGCCCAGAATAAACAGAAACTTTTGAAAACTGCAGGTCCCCATCCTCGATCCTTGATCACTCATTTGAATGATCACTCATTTGACTGACATGTGATGAATACAAAGCTGGGAGAACCAGTCCAACAGGAGCCAAAAAGTCTTCTCAGGTGAATTCCATTGAGATAAAATGCAAAAGGAAGAAAGAAGAGGATAAATGTAGAACACTGTAGTTTAAAAATTCTCAGAAATCTTACTAGAATATGTTAACATATAATGAATGCCTACCACTACTATAAGTCCTCTACTTGTGCCCATATCCTAGGAGAGTGGATTCTAAAGACTGTGTTAAGTATGAGCTGTCATTGTATTATCTGGCCAGGTTGTGAGGATTAGTTAGAAGTGGCTATGAACAGTGCCTAGCAGCCTGGCACATAGTAGGCATTCAACAAAAGTTACTCTTGGTTTATAAAAAGTGCTTGAAAGAATCCATAACCTTTAAATAGAATGAATAACAGTAAGAATTGTCTCTAGTTAGTTGTAGGAGGGTATGATTTTGTTCTGTATGGCCCTGAAGAAAGGATTAAGAAAAAAAAAACAGTAAGTGGATGTTATAAGGATCTGGTAAACAGAGAACAAAGCAAGACAGAAAGAGGAAAGAGAAGAACAGAAGAAGAAAGTCAGGGGCTCCCTAGAGAAGCAATGAGGCCCAGCTATCTGTGGGGCTCTTCTGGAAGGGACAGGACAGACTTTGGACAAGAATGATTCTAAGGGGAGTCCAAGCAGCAGAAAAACTCGCAGACTGGGGAAGATTTTACCCCTAGCCCAAAACCCAGGCCTATCTCAAATTGACCAGGGGGCTTATGAAATGAAAGTGAACAATGTGGAGACTGCTCACCAGCCTCCAGCTTCTCAGGACAGTTTTCCCCAAATGGAATTCTGATCACGGAGCCAGGGCTCAGGGGGATGCCTGTATAAACCAATAGATCACTTACACGCCACGCATTTTTTAAATTTTTTATTAGTATTTATTTATTTGAAAGTTAGAGTCACACAAAGAGAAGGAGAGGCAGAGAGAGAGAGAGGTCTTCCATCTGCTGGGTCACTCCCCGGTTGGCCACAATGGCCGGACCTGTGCTGATACAACGCCAGGAGCCAGAAGCTTCTTCCAGGTCTCCCACGTGGGTGCAGGTCTCAAGGACTTGGGCCATCTTCTACTGCTTTCCCAGGCCACAGCAGAGAGCTGGATCGGAAGTGGAGCAGCATGCCGGCACTGCAGGCAGTGGTCCTACCTGCTGTGCCACAGCACTGGCTCCCACACCATGCATTCTTAAAAATCTCTTTGGAATTAACACGAGCGCAAACTTTCCCCTATCAGTCCAGCATTCCTGAGGCCACTAACTCGGTAACATTTTCCCCCCTTACTGCTGCCTGAGGGCAGTGGATAGTATCGGTGAAGCTTTAGAGTTCATTAGTTACATGACTGTAATTACGAAATTCTTAGAGAAAGACCTGTCTTGCAAAGTAAAGAATCACCTCTCCTGTACCAGAAAATTCACCATTTGTAAAATTTTCAAAATAAAACACCAGGCAAACACAAGTTGATAATTTTATTATTTTTTGTCTCATTCAACGTATTCCTTGACAAAGTGAACTTCACTATGGAATTGTTTATTTAAAAAAAGAAAAACAGCTTAGAGCTTAAGAAAACAAAACTCAAGTTAACTGGTTAGGATATATTTCTATATAAAATATTTTACAGAAATGTTATAAGAGTTCACTCTAATATAGTCATATTTCTGATTTTCACTTGATTTAAACTCAACCCCATGGCAAATGCATAAAGCATTTTGTAGAACAGTCTATGAGTATATTCCACTCACTAATAGAGATCTTAGTGTACAAGGACGTCAAAAAGTTACAGAAAAAGTAAGTCTATTTTGTTGTACAACTTTTTGAAATTCATGTGTAGTTTTTTCATAAGGTGCATTTTCCATGAAACTTTTGAAGACTTCTTACATAGTATGGTGTAAGACGAGCTGCTGCTAGAACCAGACTGTCTGGCTCCAATTCTGGTTCCACCATGGACTAGCTATTAACCTTAGGGAAGTTACTCAAACTCGTGTGCCACACCTCCAAAATGGAAATAATGGATATTCACTTCACAGGGTTTTTGCAAGTTAATAGAAGGAAAGCACAGGCATGAAGTAACTGGTCAATGACTTTTAGGAACCACTGTTATTGGACCTGATATAAAAGAAGGAATGAAGTACATCACACTTCAGAAAGCTTGAGTGATGCTAATTTAAAATATAGTAGCACACATGTGCAATGCACTAAAAGATGTTCCCAAAATAAAAATCCTTATGTTTTCACGAAAAGTTAACCTTCTATTTTCATAGACATAGGTATTTTCTTGTTCGCTGCTCCACATGCAAAGGGTGAGGCAAGCAGTACCTTTTGCTACATATGTCCGAATGTGTGGGTGTTGGTTAGGAGGTGGTTGTATATGATACGATTCCATGGTGAGGTTTTTCCAGTCTGATGATTGACATCATGATTGACAATCATTTGATAACACTGGGTGGACTTTCAGAAGCTTCATTGTTATTCAAAGAAGTAAATATGTCAAATACATCATAGAGAACAATCTTCAGTAGAAGGACACCTAACAGCTATTCAGAAACAATTGATGGGACAAATTGTATAGCATGAGCACTTCTAGTGGTGCATCATTCAGTAAAAAAAAGCATTAACTAATATCTAGCATTTACTGGATACTAAACACGTGTCAGGCATAATTCTAAGTGTATATTTTCTTTTTATTTAAAGATTTATTTATTTATTTGAAAGTCAGAGTTACACAGAGAGAAGAGAGGCAGAGAGGCAGAGAGGCAGAGAGAGAGAGAGAGAGAGAGTGAGTCTTCCATCTGCTGGTTCACTCCTCAATTGGCCGAAATGGCCAGAGCTGTGCTGATCTGAAGTCAGGAACCAGGAGCTTCTTCTGGGTCTCCCACGCGGGTGCAGCAGCCCAAGGATTTGGGCCATGTTCCACTGCTCTCCCAGGCCACAGCAGAGAGCTGGATAGGAAGTGGAGCAGCCGGGACTCGAACCGGCACCCATATGAGATGCAGGCACAGCAGGCGGCAGCTGCACCTGCTATGCCACAGCGCCAACCCCACAGGTCATATTTGCATGCTATGAAATATCTAAAACAACCCATAAAACTATCCTGTAAAGTAGATATATATCTTGGTCTGAAGAAGAAATCTATGCTAATTTCATTTTAGATCAAGAGGTGGTATTTTATACGAATATTTTGTCTTTTACACTAATCTCTGTCCAGTTTTTTTGCTTTATTTAGAACAAATTCCCTAAATAAGACTTTTGGAATTAGAAAAGCATGAAAACATCAGGTTTGGAAAACCCACTAAGAAAATTAAATGAAAGTACACTTCAAAAGTTAATAGGCAGGGATGCCTGCGTGGCACCAGGATCCATATGGGTGGTGGTTTGAGTCCCAGCTGCTCACTTCAGATCCTGCTTAGGCCCCTGCACCCACATGGGAGACCTGGATGAAGCTCCTGGCTCCTGGACTGGCCCATATGGGGAGTGAGCCATCTCTCTCTTTTTGAAATCTATGCATTTTTTCCATAACTATGAACTTTTCTACTTTATGACAACCTTGTACTTGATAGTTCTCAAAAATTAACTGAAATATTTGTTTCTAATGTGAATTGCAAAAATTATACCAGTGATTCCATATGGGTCAAAATAAATAAAATACAATTATTGACCCATGTAGAATAAACCTTACATTCTTCTAGAACATTCTTAATCGAAAAGGTAAATGCTGGAAACCTGAACTGATTTTTAAGCTTGTGGCGAGATCTCAGAGGCGAATAAGCATGTAGTTCAAAAAGTTTAGGGGAAAGTGGAATGAAGGATGTTTATTTTGGTGCAAAACAATTTTGAAATGTGTGCATGATTTTTTCATAATATGCATTTTCCATGAACTTTTGGAAGCTCTCTTGTATTTGACCTTTATAACATTCTTAAATAAGTCTCTTGACATTCATTGCAAATGAACTAAAATTACTACATACCTGAAGCGAAATTTCCTTTCCCGTTCCAGAATTACAATTACTGGTGGGATTTTCCCCTTGCCATTATAAAATCACATGGAAGGAAGGAGAAGGCAGAGTGCAGGGACTATCTCTCCTCAACGGTCTCACAGTCTAATCGAGAGAAAGAAGATATCTGGAAAAACTCACGAACGAAGTCACACAATCGTATGCTGGGCTAGTTGCCACAATTAGCCGATACGTCATTTCACTAAAGAGGCTGAAAATTAAACAACTACTTTGTGTATAGGAAATATCTTATTAACCTCTATTAGGTGTCAAAATGTCAATATCAAACAAAGGGCAAGGAACAGAATTAAGGACAGCTGGAATTAGTTTCAAGGACATGGTTCTCTACTGATGTCATTGAAACACAAGGTTACCTTTCATGTTTTTATGTCTCCATATTTTGACAGGACTTATGGTTTTAATTTTCTCTTTCTCCCCACTTCTATCTTCTCCAGGAAAAAAAAACAAAAACAAAAACCACAGGCCTACGTGGTTTGGGAGTAGATAGTACAAGGTGTTTGAGTCTCGCCTGTATCATTCCTATTTAATCTTCGGCTAAGAAGTCAACCCCCTTAGTCTCTTTGCCTATAGGTCAAGAAGAGACAACAGTGCCAAGCTCAGAGAGCGAGGAAGAGTTCTGGAAGTGATGGTCCGGAAACTAGCATCTGGCACCAGGCAGGTTTGTAACCCGTGGTGGCCATTCCTTCTTCCTTCTTCCCATTAGCAAAAGGGGTACCAGCACAAGCAAGTGTTCATTTTAGAGTGGCACTTTGCAATCTGGATCACCTCTAGGAAATACAGGGGCATTAACATGCGATTCTGACTCAGGAGGCCCAGGTGGGGCCCAAGACGAGGCATCTCCAGTGTGCTGGTCCACGCACCACAGTTGAGGTAAGCAGAGTCTTAGAGGCAAGAAGAACACAGAAGTGGTCAGAAGAGAAAGATTAAAATGGAGGAAAAGAAACCAACATTTATGGAATGCCTACTGCATAGCCAGAACGGTAGGCACAAATAGCTTATTTTATCCTCAAAATAACTCTGAAAAGTAGGTTTTCCATTACATGCAGCAGGAGATTGAGAATCAAGTGCTCTAGCTCCTAAGAGACTCCATTCCAAAGCTTACAGTCCTTGCACACCTGGAGAGAGGACTCAGAGCCGGCCGGATGGACAGAATTGGAAAAGGACAAAGGAGTCTAAGTGGGAGAGAATGACCAAGGGGGGAAATGGGCATCCGGGACTTGTAGAGGGAAAAGAGGAGGGGCAGAAAAACAATGTGCAGAGGCTGAGGTCCCCTCCCCCATCCTCCTTCCAAGGCCAGACTAGCTGCTGTCTGAGGTTCAACTCTTCTATGTCACTTCAGTGATGCAGCCGCTGCTTTCCACGCCGCGAAAGAGTGGATCTGCTCCAGCTTCACCCCGCCAAGTTGTTTCTATGGTAACAAAGATAACAGAGACCAGGCAAAGAGCAGGTGGGAAGAACAATCAGGTATTGCTATCCTAAAGGGACTTTTTCAACCACTGAACATGGCAACGGGTTCAGATCTAATCTAGGTTTAACATTACATGAGCAAATAACAGCTAGAGCCACGGGTATGAGTCTGTGACTGTGAGGTCTAACAGGTGACCATCATATGACAAGAGAAAAGTGCTGCCAGAAATGGCTTACTCTACGGCAGCAAGGACTACAGTGCTACTGTTCCATAAATGATGAATTTCGTAGTTTAGAGCAGGCACACACAAAAATAACTATTTTAAATAAGTTACAACCTCAATGTTGTTGTCAGCATGACATATCAACTGTTTCTAAGGTACCAGTTAGGAGTATGCCAGTTTAGACCCAAATTAACAAATGTCTTCAAAAATTATCATGAACCCTGTAATTGGTAAATGCCAAGAATTCACATAATGTTCTATTATATGATCAACTCATTTCCTTGAGGAGGCAGGATCTGAGATGAGTTGATCTCTCTCTCCCTCTCCATCTCTCTTTTTCTCCCTTTCTCTGTCACTCTGTCTTCCAAATAAATAAAATAAATATTTTAAAAAGAGAGAGAGAGAAAAGAGAAGAGCCAAGAGAAAAGCAGAAGCAACTTGGGGACAAGGGGAAGCAGCATGTATCTAGTATTGCCTATATATATTATTGTTACTTAATGTTTATAAACCTGTAAGCTAGGTAGTGATCGGCCCTTTTTATATACGCTAGCACTAAGATACAGATAAGTAGTTATCTTATTCTTGGTCATAGGACTAGCAAGTGGCAGTCAGGATTTAGAAAGAAAAAGCAAAGCTCTTACAGAGGACAAGAGGGACCATGGTAGCAAGTATTGCCTCCCTATACCAATCCTCCTCTTCTTCCTCAACAGAATCTCAGTTTTTTATCTGGATAAGCTGTCACTTGACATGAAAGACAAATTTCCCAGCCTTTCTTGTCACTAGTTTTGCCCATGTGCCTACATCCTGGACAATGTGGCATAAGTGGAAATGTTTGATGGAACTCTGGAGCGTATTAGTAGCAATCTCTCCTGCGTGTGGTCAGCCTGCGTAACAGACCCCCTTCGAGTCCCTGGTTCTTAATTCTCAGGCTAACCCCAACTTGGATGGGCTCTGTTAACTCTGCTGTAATTGGCTGGAACTTCCATCCTGCCCAGGCGCAGCCTAATTCTTACCTGGTTCTCTTCTAGGGATGATGCCCCTCTGCTCAACCATGATGAAAAGCAAGCCCTGGATGCCCAGGTGAGAACTAGTCACTATTTCCATCTAGTCTCACAACAACGAACATGCAGGTTCGCAGCTGGTCCTTGAGCCTGGCTGCATCTCTTTCCCAAGTCTCTGTGAGACTGGAGCCAGCTCTGACCTCCAGCAAGCTGGCTGTGCTCCTTTCTCTTAGCTACCGCAGGCCTCATTTCCAGGGCAAGACCCTGGTATGCTTCATCTCATCACAGACACACCTCTTTGATTTACAATACAGTCCTCACAAGATTCAGAAATGGGGTTTGTAGGCTGCCACAAAACACGTCAAACACCGGAGTGAGGGAAAGGTTTATTGTCGGGTAGGGGAAGCCCTGATGGGCTGGGGGAGAGGGGGAGAGAGTAAGAGCCCATGTGTACAAGAAGCAGGTCCTGTTAAACCCTTGCCAGGGGGCAGGGAAGTAGGAGCAGCAAATCCTATTAGGGTGGGGGTGGAGCTGACAGCTGCGGTTGGGCCATCTGGTCACCTGGCTTCCAGCAATGGGGGGTGGGGGGGTTGAGAGTAGAGCCTAGGATGGTGTCTGGGGCATAGATGGTGCCACACATAAGACTGTGCCATTTTACGAACAGTGTTGCTGCTCTGTCCCCTCAATTCAGATGCCGTTAGCCACTGATGCCTGCATGAAATAGACTGAATTTTGTTACATGCCACCCTCTCCCAAGTCCCAGTAAGATTATCAGGCTATTTCACCTTCCAAGCAGCAAGATGCCATATGTATGCCCTAAGAGGTACATTTCTAACTAGTAAATCACAGATCTGTCTGAGCTTTAAAATCTCTCTTCTTTTCCTAATACTGTCATCCAGAATGCCATTCTGTGAGGGAAGAAGGGACAGAAAGGGTCAGAAACTCTTTCATGATAATGAAATACAGCTAAGCTACCTTCCCTTGATTCAAATTGTATGTGCTATATACATATAAACAATTTGGCCAGTTTCAAATCACAGGACTCTGACTAAAACTTCACCATGACTTCTCTGTCAACAGATGTGAAAATGTGTTCTAATAAAGAATCTAACTGGAGGCAGACATTTGGTCTAGCAGTTAAGATACTGGGTAGGACATCGTGTTCCATATCATGGTGCTTGAGTTTTATTCCTGGCTCTGGCTCGTGCTTCTAGCTTCCTACTAATGCTAGGAGGCTGCCGGGGATGGTTCAGGTACCTGGGTCCCTACCACCCACTTGCGAGACCTGGATAGAGTTCCTGCCTTCCAGCTTCATCCCCTGTCCAACTCAGGGCCATTGCAGGCATTTGGGAAATAAACAATGGATGGGAGCACACTCTCTCTCTCCTCTATTTTGTTTGAACCTCTACCTCTTGAATAAATAATTTTAAAATAATTCTAATTAGATCAAGAAAGTTACTAGGAGAGGCAACTTGGCAAGGAGTCCAATTTGAGAACACTAAATTCCAGCATTCATTGAAGTGATTAATTTTGGTTTTGATTGAGTAATTAGGTATAAAGGGGCTGCTTAACATCTTTTAATCTCATTAATGTCAATGAAGATCAAGCTTTTAAATATTACCTCCCAGGAATAGCTCACAAGGAAATCTAATCCGGAGAAGAGAGAAAAGTAGGAGACCTTATTGTTAATTATTTTAAACAATTTCAAAAATCTTTAATTGCCTTTGAGTGTGAAAAACCAATGGAGAAATGAATCATTTAGCTGTAGGGCTGCAGCTAGAGTCAGAGGCTGATCTGGAGTTCAGAGGAGAAAAAGGAATGCAACATTTTGATGATGCATGACTTCATTCAGTGGAACATTCCTCTGAAACACCCTTCCAAGACTCTGTAGTGGATGAAAAATCACCTAGGAAAACATGATATTAATACCGGGGTATTAAGGTAGAATCCTTATTAATTCTAGAACCAGATAGAGAAAGCCAAGCAACTAGGAAAATATAGGATCAGGATTCCTTTCATGTTGCTACAACATGGAACGTGCCTTCAGTGAAAATCGAAAAGGAAAATCAGTCCTTGATGACCCACCAAAACACATTTCATATTAAAACTTGTTTTTGAGATGTCTTCTTGGCGTTCCTATAGATTTGGATATCATTTGTTTGTACTCAATGCATTTGGGACATGCCCCCAGCATAGGAGATATCATATTGTATTGTAATGGTTTTAATTTGCCTGACTCTCAATTCAGTTAGGTAGGATCAGGGTCCATTTGCAATGCCTAGCATTGGGCCTGCCAATGTGTGCTGAGTTAATAAATAATTTTGTCTCATAAAGTAGTAGCATAAGACCAATAGAACATCTGCAGTCCTACCAATGAAATGATATGGGAAGAAAACTGATGATGACAAAACCAAAATCTGTTTCCTTTAGTCATTTCTTAACACAAAATCAGATATAGCAGGTAGGACCATCTGTTCATGATTTTTAGAAGCACATTATTTCAGGAATATGATTCATGGGAAGGAAAGGCCACTTTCATATAAAATCATTGTGTCAGTCTTGCAAAATTTAGGGGCAATTTAAACACTGCTTCTTTCATTTGGGTTTCTTAAAATAAACCTGTATTAGGGTTCTCCAGAGAAACAGACCAATAGAATCTATCTAGCTATCTAAAGAGATTTATTATATGGACTTGGCTCATGTGATTATAGGGACTGGCAAGCCCAACACTGCAGTGAGCCAGCAGGCAGAGAGCCAGAGGAGAGCCAATGGGGCAACTGAAGTCCAAGGACAATCCACTGCAGAGTTCCTGTTTACCTGGGGGAGGCTCAGACGCATCAATCTATTCTGGCCTTTACCTGACTGAACAAGGCCCATCACATTAAGGATGGCAACCTGCTTTACCAATTCAAGTGCTAATCTCAGGGTGGGCATTTGGAACAGCAGTTAAGATACCGCTTGGGATAGCCATATCAGAATGCCTGGGTTCCAGTCCTGGCTCTGCCCCCAATTCCAGCTTCTTGCTAATATGAACCCAGGTTGGCAGTAGGTGATGGTTCAAGTGGATGGCTCCCTGCCATCCATGCAGGAGACCTGCATTGAGTTCCCAGCTTTTGGCTTCAGCCTGGCCCAACCCGGCACCAGCATCTCTGTCTCTCTGCCTTGCAAATAATTTTTTTTAAGTTAATCTCAGGGGCCTGCACTGTGGCGTAGCATGTAGAGCCACCACCTGTAGTGCCAGCATCCCATATGGGTCCTGGCTGGTCAACTTCCAATCCAGTCTCTGCTATGGCCTGGGAAAGCAGTAGAAGATAGCCCAAGTGCTTGGGCCCCTGCACCTGCATGAGAGACCCGGAAAAAGCTCCTGGCTCCTGACTTCAGATCGGCACAGCTTAGGCCATTGCACCCATTTAGGGAGAGAATCAGTGGATGGAAGATCTCTTTCTCTACCTCTCTGCCTCTCTGTAACTCCACCTTTCAAATAAATAAATAAATAAATCTTTTTTTTTAAAGTTAATCTCATGCAAAAATATCTTTCAAGAAACCCCCAGAACAATGTAAGACCAGATGATAGAAAATTAACCATCAAAGCATTCTTGGAGGAGGTGTTTACTATGTGTTCTGTACAACGAAGGTTTGGCTTACATCCTGACTGAATAGAATAACTGCTAGTTTGTGCAGTTGTGTCTAGCATGCATATTGACTTCAGAGACAGCTGGGTTCCAAACCTTACTATACCAATCTGCCTTCCATGTGAGCAAGTTCCCCAAAGTTGGCTACACTTCAGTTTCCTTGTTAGCACTTTAGGAATAATAATACCACCTATTTATGAAGGTGTTATAAGGATTAAATAAAGCACTTAGCTCAGCTCTGGATACCGAGTAAGTAGTAAATAAATTTGACTTTCAGAGGACAGCATTGTGGCACACAGTGGCTTAAGCCACTGACTGTAGCCATTGATCAAAATATGACCTGTGGGGCCGGTGCTGTGGCATAGCAGGTGAGACTGCTGCTTGCAGTGCTGGGATCACATATGGGCACTGGTTCGAGTCCTGGATGCTCCACTTCCAATCCAACTCTCTGTTGTGGCCTAGGAAAGCAGTAGAAGATGACCCAAGTGCTTGTGCTCCTGCACCTGTGTGGGAGACCCAGAAGAAGCTCCTGGCTCCTGGCTTTGGACAGGCCCAGCTCCAGCCATTTCGGCCATTTGGGGAGTGAACCAGTGAAGACCACTTTCTTTCTCTCTCTCTCTATCTCTCTCTCTCTCTGCTTCTCCTTCTCTCTTTGTGTAACTCTGACTTTCAAATAAATAAATAAATCTTAAAAAAAAGAAAATATGACCTGTGCCCCAGAGTAACCTGTTAGCTGGTGAGGGAAAGTTTCTTTTATATAGTATTACAGCCAATGAATGAAGAAAAAATAGAATTAAAACATCACTATACGAGCATGGCTCAGTAACAGGAGACAGCCAGATGCTATGTAGCTTCTGATGCAAGTTTTTTTTTTTTTAATTTTTTTTTAATTTTTTTTTTAACAGGCAGAGTGGACAGTGAGAGAGAGAGAGACAGAGAGAAAGGTCTTCCTTTGCCGTTGGTTCACCCTCCAATGGCCGCCACGGCCAGCGCGCTGTGGCCGGCGCACCGCGCTGATCCGATGGCAGGAGCCAGGTGCTTCTCCTGGTCTCCCATGGGGTGCAGGGCCCAAGCACTTGGGCCATCCTCCACTGCACTTCCAGGCCACAGCAGAGAGCTGGCCTGGAAGAGGGGCAACCGGGACAGAATCCGGCGCCCCGACGGGGACTAGAACCTGGTGTGCCGGCGCCGCTAGGCGGAGGATTAGCCTAGTGAGCCGCAGCGCCGGCCACTGATGCAAGTTTTTAACACCTTTTATGGTTGTCTTGTCACTTACCCTCTCCTCCTCAATCTAAAAATGATTGAGTCTTGGATTTTAATTTATGGAAAATACACAGCCTAGAAGAACATATTTAATAACCCCGCAGATATTCAGTCAACAAAGTCCAGGCAGTGACTGGACTTCTACAAGACTCTAACTATTTTTCATCAACAATAAAATTACAAAGGAAAGAGATCTATGGAGAAACTTATAAAATTGGAAAAGAAAACATTCAAGATATGTATCAATCAACAACAATATACAGATCTTGCTTCATCAGATTTGAGTAAATTGCTTTTAAAAATTTTAGGATTAGGGGCCGGCGCCATGGCTCACTTGGTTAATCCTCCACCTGTGGCGCCAGCATCCCATACGGGTGCTGGGTTCTAGTCCCAGTTGCTCCTCTTCTAGTCCAGCTCTCTGCTGTGGCCTGGGAAGGCAGTGGAGGATGGCTAAGTGTTTGGGCTCCTGCACCCGCATGGGAGACCAGGAAGAAGCACCTGGCTCCTGGCTTTGGATTGCACAGCGCCGGCCATAGTGCCATTTGGGCAGTGAACCAACAGAAGGAAGACCTTTCTCTCTCTCTCTCACTGTCTATAACTCTACCTGTCAAATAAATTAAAAAACACAAAAGAATAAGGAAAATGTATACTATTGGCTATTTGATAGTGTTAAATATTTTTTGGTAGTTTTTTTGGGAGGAGTGAGATATCATTACTATTTCAAAGGATAGTTCTTTTCTGGTTTTGTTTTTTATTTTTGAGAAGTTCTTTTTTAAAAGATGCACATTGGGGCTGGGGTTGTGGGGCAGAAAGTTAAGCTGCCATCTGCATTGCTGGCATCGCAAATGGGCACCAATTCAACTCCCAGCTGCTCCACTTTCAATCCATCTCCCTGCTAATGGCCTGGGAAAGCAGTGGCCTCTGCTATCCACGTGGGAAACCTGGAAGAAGCTCCTGGCTCCTGGCTCCTGGCTTTGGCCTGGCTCAGCCCTGGTGGTTGTGGTCATCTGAGGAGTGAACCAGTGGATGGAAGCTGGCTCGCTTTCTCTCTCTTTTTCTCTCTGTCTCTCCCTCTGTGCTTGTAACTCTGACTTTCAAATAAGTAAACAAATCTTTTAAAAAATGCATATTGAAATGTAAAAGAGATGATACATCTTATATTTGCCTCAATTATCTGGGAATTCTTTGCATAGAACTCAGATCAGTTTTGTTCTGTGACTAAAGCCTGGAGGGTGCTGCTCGTGTACTCCAGACCTTTCCATTTGGAAATTGGCTTTTTCCTTTGAAGCGCCGTATCTTTCTTCCCCAGAGCCTACTGAGAGCTTTTTTGTCTAGTTTTCCCTGCCCTGTCAATAGCAAATGAATTATTTCTCACATTTGTTTAAAAAAAAAAAACAATAACAACAAGCACAAATTCTGCTGTTAAAGTGTGCCCATAACCCTTGCATTCTCACCACAAAAGGAGGCATGCGCTGTGAGGCCAGTAAGCCATAGGTCCTTACTTATCGCACAGGATGGATTAAGCACTAGCCACAACATAGTCACACTTTTTGTTTTACTAATTCTACTTTGAGGGATTTATCCCAAGAAAATTATTCAAAGAAATAAAGAGATAGATACATGAATGCATTCTTCACCTCTATCCACAGTAATCAGACATTGACATAAATAAATTGATCAGTATTACAGTACAGATTAAAATGTTGATTAATCATCTTTGGAAACTAGACACCATACTCTCATTGACCTTGATGGAAAATGAGCATCCATTTCATCCCAGAAATGTGTAATACAGAGACTACACACACATCTTGCAGCTGACAGTGATGAGTATTGATTGATTCTGCAGTATAACATCAAAATCATAAGCTAATCATTAAAATTTTAGTAGCAAATATTATTTTATTTTATATTCAATTCTACGCCTGAGTTTGGTATCTTAGCTTGTTCAGGCCACTGTAACAAAACACACTGATCCAGCTGGCTCAGTCACAACAAGAATGTATTCTTACAGATCAAGAGGTCAGGAAGTCCAAGATCAGGCACCAGCAGATAGGGCGTCTGGGAAGGGTTCCCTCCACGCTTTGGGGGGGCGGAGCCTTCTTGCCAGGTGTGCACATGGTAAGGGGTTAATCTCACTGGAGAGGACCCCATGCTCCTGACTTAATCAGCCACCCCAGAGCCTCACCTCTGAATACTAGCACATTGGGAGTTCACATGTCAATTTTCAGAGGACACAACATAGCACTTTGAGTTGGGAATTTGCTCCAAATAACAAAACTATTAGCCTCTTCCCATTCCCATTTACTGGAGAAAAATAAAAAAGTATCTAGATAGAAATTAAAGAGCCTATCTTCTGAAAAATCAATTTATCTGGCAAATATTAATTTACTAATTGGCTTTCCTGAGGATGGAATGGAGGCAAGGTTGGGGGAGGCGGCTTCCTTGGGGACTGGAATGTATGTATGACGACATTCCCTCCTGTTTGGTTCTTCCAGCAGAAATCCCAGTGGCTTTAGCAGCCAATCCTGTGGCCATCCACCTACGGGTCAATTCACTGCTCGCTCTGCTGGAAAGGAGACTTCCCAAGCCTACCCAGGGCTCGGGCAGAATCCAAAGCAGCAAGTGAGAGGAGGAGGCAGCTCTGCAGACAACATTCCCAGAGTGCTCGGCAGAAACTTGTCCCAGGCTAGACCCTGTATACCAGTCAGGATTCTCGTGGGTGAGCAACCAGATTGACTTGAGCTGATCTAAAACTGACAAGGAGTTTTGCTTATCCATTTGGAACACCTTGCTGGCTTTAGCAATTTTCCTGACCTATAGAGACACAATTACAGAGCGAGAAAGCCCATGTGGCAGTTACTATATAGAACATCCTTTATCTCCCACGGATTCTACTTCTAGGAAATTTAATCAATTGTTTTCCCTAGTATGTAAGACTTTTCTTCTTTTAATTGGCACCTTAGTGCCCAATTAAATAATAAGCATGCTAATTAGAATAGCAATAACAATAGAGAATTCACTTTTGAAAACTAGTAGATTTATCAAAGGGTGTAGGCCATAGGAAACACTAATTTTAAACCTAGCCTGCCATTGATGCACACGCTCTATTTCTTACATTTCCAAAACTAATAAAATGTTAGAAAGGACATCAAAATAATCCATAGCTAAACTCTAATAGTCATTCTATGAACAATACTTGGGAGAAGATACTCCAGAAGGGGAAATCAAATTGCACTCTGGGTGTTAAACCAAAGGCAACACTGAGATGCGCAAAGTCGCCTTAGAAAAACTACACTGCCTGCCACCTAACACATGGAAGGCAAGAATGGTAACGAGATCCGATCAGCCACAGACATACCCATCCCACTATATGCTGGCTGAGGAAAATGAACCCGTCCAGCTGCTTCTGCCAAGGATCGGGTCTGTTCGGAGGGTGCAACCTTGGAGCCAGAATGCATCGTGTGTTTGCTTCTCTCAACACCATGCCATCAAATGCACAAATATCTCTTCTTCTAAGTCTTGGCTCCTCAAGGTATCGTCTGAAGGTTTAGCTGCTTAGGAGGCTCCTGTTCAGAGAAAAGGAGATGAAGAGAACTTCAGCAATGAACTCCCCCATTTTTGAAGTTTTATTTCCCATTGTAAATAAATAAGATATATTTCTGGTTTCTTCTGGTTTCTTCTGTTGAGAGGTTTGCTAAACTGAACACACAATATCCGATCAAGTACTGATACGACAGGTTTTCTAATCCTGTGCTGTTGGGCCCAGATCCTATGAAACAATGATTTCTCTGAGTCTTCCTTGAGTCATCACCTCTGCATCACTGTACGTCAAGCAAAGCTTTTCCGTTCCAAAACACAGGGCAGACGTGCAGCAAGTCACACTGAGCCACAGAACGGGAATCTAAAGGCAGAGAGATGCACAGGGACCATACCCAGAAGCCAACTGTGTCCTTGTGGTGACAATCCTTGTCCCTTGTCCCGTCTCCCTTGAATTATGCCATAGCAAATATAGCTCCTGGTGTGCAACAGGTGCTCAAAACGTTGCAATGAGGGCTGTGCAGTAGGTGCTCAAGAGGCACATGTTGAAAGGTGGTGGTCGGTTCCGCCCCCTGGCAGTATCTTCCCCACTACTGCGAAATGACTGCACTGTGAACTCTCTCAGTGTGGCCCTAAAGGGAACAGAACTTGCCATGCTCGGGTGAGCTTTTTGCTAACAGTATGCATTCTCCAAGTTGCCAGGGGGAGAAAAATGCAAAGAAATGAAGTTACTGCAATGGTCACCGGCTCAGACCCCTCCAGTGCATTTGCTGGAGAGTCAGCCCTCCCCTTCCAGGCCCCTTAGGTCTGCCATGGCCCCCAGGGCATTCCCACGCCTGCCTGGCTTGTTCCAGTCCTCAATAAGCACATTAGCTCCTGCCTTGGCTCCTCCCCACTGACTCAGATCCCCTCGGAGGGAATGATGAGGAAAACATCTACTCATGTGCCTTCAGCTCTCCAAGCTGAGATCCTGCCTGCAGCCACCTTGAATCTGTGAAAAGGTGATTCTGTGCTAGGCTGCATCCCTTCCTAAATGCTACTCAAAGCGCCAGGAGTAAACACCCCCAGAGCGCTGTGTGGTCATAACCCTAGGGCCTCAGGTGTTGCTCAGGCCCCAGGAGAACCAGCAGGTACCTTTGGGGTGAGGTTGCTTGGTGCTGTGGCCAGCTGGTTCCTCTGCCAGTCTCAGGAGCCACAGTGAGAGCCCAAATGCCCTCTGCACACTTGAATGGGTGATCAAGTATAAGGATATACGGAGAAATTTCTTTTACTTTACTTCACAACACAGAATAATTCCGGGACCCCAGGGGTGTAGGGGTCTCATACATACAACCAGCAGTTCTGCAGTGGATACCACCAGGGTGTCTTCTAATTCAGATCAATTCCAGGACTATCTACCTGGAGGTAGCATTAGATCCTATAGGTTACAGGCTCAGTCCCATAAGCCTGCTTTCTACCACCACCGCTTCCTGGGCAAGTCACAAGAACAGGATAGACCAGGTATAAATTAAGGTTCCCATGATCACTCCTTGCACTTCATGAATTTTGCTAGTGAGGTTTTCATGGAAGCTTCCTTAAGTAGGGGTGATTAAATCACTGGCCATTCAAATGTTAGAGCCTCTCCTGTCCCATTTAACCAACCTTCGGCCCCTCTCCACTTCCCTAAGTAGGGATGTGGTGAAACTGAGAGTTCCAATTCTCCAAGCAAGGTTGGTTCCCATGGCAACAAGTTCCTAGCCTGAGGCTACCCAGGGGAGTGTAGTCTCTCATCAGCATACCAAAGACACTCCAAGGATTCCAAGGATTCTAGGAGTTGTATGTCAGCATATGGAGGACAAGAACAAATATATATTTCATAAGATCACAGCAAGAGATAGGCAAAAGTCAGGCTGCCTTTACATTTTTACTTATTTGTTTTTATTTTATCTGAAAGGCAGAGAGACAGAGACACAAGGGAGAAATTTTCCATTGGGTGAGTCACTCTCCAAAATTCCTCAGAAGCCAGGGCTGGGTCAGGCTGCAGCCAGAAGCCTGGAAATCAAGTCTCCCAAGGGAGGTGGCAGGGACCCAAATACCTGCTGCCTCCCAGGGTTAGCAGGAAGCCAGATTGGAAGTGGAGGAGCAGGGACTCAAACCAGGCACTCCAATATGGGATGTGGGTGTCCCAAGTGACATCTTAACTGCTGCGCCGAACACCTGCTCTGTCAGACTGTCTTCAGCTGCAATCTTAGGGCCTTCATTAAGAAACCTTCTTGGACTTGTCCCTGCTGCCACACATAGCTTCAAGTGGTCTTACTGTGACTTCTCTCTCCAAATACCACCTACCAATAACATGCACCATTTCTTCCATGATGTCCAGAGTATTTCTGCTTTTTTCCCCTTGTCAAATTTTCCTGCTCTGGCACATGCACGTGGCATCCCCAATTCTAGGAGCTTTGCTGCACTGCGATAAATAAATGCATGTTGCGGTCAGCAGACTTGGGTCTAAGTGACTGCCTTTAAAAGATACAGAGTACCGTGATTATATGAGAAGTTCGTCTATGAGTACAAGCGTCTTGGACATTATGTATACTAAACTGGAGGTTAGCTTTTTACCAAAAATGGAGAGAAAGACATGGTAGATAAGACGGAGTAGAGAAATAAAATATAATGCCAAGTGTTTTTAGTCTTCAGCATTTGGATTTTGGACATTAAAATCACATACAAGTATACATAATTTAAAAGTATATAAATGCTGATAAGGTATGAACACAAGTAAACAGATTACCATGGCCAAGAAAATAAAAGCACATAAAAGTGTCACTTCTGTAATTTATCATTCTTGGTGTACTTAATGGATAGACAATTTCAAGGTTGCTGATCTGGTGTCGTGGTCACAAAATGAATGGGGTAATTTCTACCTCTAGAGAAATTATTCTAAAATATATCATGAGCTAAATTAGTGAATATAGGATGTTGGAAAAATAATACAAAATATTGACCCATCATCAACCTGCATGCAAATTAGTAAGGCTGGGGACCAGTTAGGACAACAGCATTCGCACAGCTTTTTTCTTGTTTTTGAAGATTTTCTCACAGTTTCAAGGTAAGTATTACAGACTTCATGAAATGTGAAATTCCCTGCACAAATAATCAGACACAGAATACATGGCCCCAACACTACGTTCATGGAGCCTGGGAAGTCGACAGCAATGGCTGGCTGGCTTTCTCTGCTTTCTAGTATACACTGGACTAGTCAAGAACAAGGATTAAGGCCGGCGCCGCGGCTCACTAGGCTAATCCTCCGCCTAGCGGCGCCGGCACACCAGGTTCTAGTCCCGGTCGGGGTGCCGGATTCTGTCCCGGTTGCCCCTCTTCCAGGCCAGCCCTCTGCTGTGGCCAGGGAGTGCAGTGGAGGATGGCCCAGGTGCTTGGGCCCTGCACCCCATGGGAGACCAGGAAAAGCACCTGGCTCCTGGCTCCTGCCATCGGATCAGCGCGGTGCGCCGGCCGCAGCGCGCCAGCCGCGGCGGCCATTGGAGGGTGAACCAACGGCAAAAGGAAGACCTTTCTCTCTGTCTCTCTCTCTCACTGTCCACTCTGCCTGTCATAAAAAAAAAAAAAAAAAAAAAAAAAAAGAACAAGGATTTTAACCCGAGAGAGACCTAGGTTCGAATCCCGACCCTGACACTTCCTAGGTGGGTGATACTGGTCAAGGGGCTTAACTTTTATGTACTTCAGTGACTCTCTCCTCCTGCAAAACAGAAATGTCAATCAATGCCTGCATTCCTGTTCATGGCCAGAGCACCCACCAATCAGAAAAGACTCTGGACTTGCCCCTCAAGAAGGGATCCCAGACAGCCTCTGTTGTGCCCAGGGTTAACCCTGGAGATTCTGACTTTGGAGAAGAGAAGATGGAGGAAGAGCTGGAGACGCAGGGTACAGAAAGCAGCTGGCAAACTCAAGGCAGCAGCTCCTCACTGGCCGCTACAGAAGAATGTCAGAATTTTAGCAACCACTTTAGTCATCAAGCTGACACAACTATGCCTAAAATAAAGAGTTGCTGTGAGGATTAAATGATATCATCTATGTAAAGCACTCAGTTCATACTAACTCAATAAATGGTAGCTATAACAATTAGTGTCGTGACAGGAATACGCAAATACCATCCTCAGATTATACAAGGATTTAATCAGATACTGTGTTAGGTGTTCAGTTCAGGGCTTAACTCCTAGGAAGTGCTCAGCAAATGGCAGGCATCAATATCCAGTCTCCCTCTGTTGCTAGTTAATGCCTGGTGAGTGGACTAGAATGGATGCAGTGGACTACAAGACCCGTCAGTGCTAGGCAAAATGGGCAGAGTTTACAGCTTCTCTAGGTACCAAGAGATTACTCCACTCATGTCTGTAAGATCAAATGAGATCATGGGAAATAGTATGAAAAAAATCAGTGAATAAGTTTAAGGAAAACGAAGTAATTACTACATGCCACTTTATCATCTGGGAATCTACCTAGTTGGTCATACAGTCTACAAGAAAATTAAATTCATAAACATAACTGCATTGATACATTAAACTCAGAGAAGGCACAATATAAAGGAACTGACAAAATGGTAAAATTAATTCTAGCATCCCTGAAGTGACTTGAAGTTTGACTGTTACTGAACATTTGAAATTCTATTTTTTTTTTTTTTACATTTTGGAGTTTATATCAGAGATTAAATAATACTTTTGGCTCAAAGAGCAAGTAGGTAATAATTTTTCCTTAATGAAATACATCAGCTTTTTTTTAATTTTTAGTTTTATAAATTTGACAGGCAGAGAGACTGAGAAAGAGAGCACCCACTTGCTGGTTCACTGCCCAAATGCCCACACGCCAGAAGCTGGAATGCAATCCAGGTTCCCCCATGAGGGTGGCAGGAACCCAATTACTTGAACCCTCACTGTTCTGCCTCTCAGAGTCTGAACTAACAGGAAGCTGGAGTCAGGAGCCAGAGCCAGGCATTGAACCCAAGTCCTCTGATGTGGAAGGCAGACATCTTAACCACCAG